TCATTGGGCCTACACAGAGTAAATAATATATAGGTCTAGGCCTAGTTAGTCTTATTTTATCCGTAGGGATTAGGCCTTAATCACAGAAAGAAATGAAAACAATTCAATGACCTAGGCCCTACTATAGTACACTGTACTTAGCAGGGGAAGGGAGTGGGGGTGGGGCAGGGCCCCCGTCGGGGAGATCTGGCTTCTCTTCCACCTCCTGTCGTGGAGAAAAACCTCAATTCGTCGGGGAGAAAAAATGTAATGTATTTTCTACATATTAGTAGACACCAAAATCGACTAAGTAAGCCTTTCAAACCAATTCTTTTTCGGGGGTTGGTGGGGAGCCAAGAGGAACACTTTCGACGGATATTGAGGGACGTCCGACGTTCACTTTTTTCGTCGGGGACCTCGGGGGCCTTATAAATTAAAAACTTTTACAACATGACTGCTGAAGTTTAGTGTTCACTGATTTGAAACAATATTGCCGGTTATAATCCAGAAAAAGAGAAAGGAACCGAATGTTATATATATGTAATTTAAGTAAATATATTAACTTTCCAATGTCGTGTATTTTGTATTGTAATGTTATGTAGGCCCATTATGCGCCTATTCAGTGCAGATTTTTCAGTAGCCTAGGCGAGGGTCTAACAGATTCTGCATGCGCCTAACTTCACGTAAATGAGGCATAGGCCTAGACGGACTGCTGCGGGTTGCTGGACGCACAATCTAGGTCTAGGCACCAAACTACTGAAAAGACCTCCTGGTCCGACTAACCCAGGAGCCTAGACCTATAACGTCCATATTACTTAGGCCAATTGTCTTAAAATGGACTCGATCGTCCCTCACCCGCTCGTAGCAGCAGCACAAGAGAAAACATAAGCTAAGCCCTAGCCTGCTCGCCTTGCTAAATTCACATTGGTCACACAGTGTAGTGTGATGTTTTTTGGTAGACGGCTTAATTATACTTGACGTCACCATATACAAGCCACGCCCCCTCGGCTGAACCCGTTGTATTTAGCAACTACCGTTTATTCGGTTCAACATGTCGTACAAGCAGCGACCAACAGGTGGCGCTATAGCGGATATCTATACAGAGCCGTAGATAGAGAGAGTTTGGCCAACTCGGTTTCAATCACGTGACTTACACCGGCCATGTTGTCACCAAAACGATAGGGTAGGAAGTTAGCAGTTATTATAGATGATTAATGCTATATAATGTGAAATACCGTTATGTTGGGTTTGGGGTTGCTGCAATCGATCCAACAAAGAAACAAAAATGTATTAATTTCCTTAAATTCCAAAAAGGAGGAGGATTTGGGATTATATTTTAACTTCCGCATGGCGATCGAAAAATTTCGCTATCCACTTAGTAAATAAAGGCATGTACCGCCCGCCCCACTTCGCGGTAATACGTAACTGTACTTGGCCTAGACAGGCCTAAATTTCGGTACTTCTTCGGCCGAACACCTTAAGGTCAGGGGCGGATTTAGGGGGGGCCGGCCCGGCCCCGGCCCCCCCTTTTGGGAGGTAAAAAAAGGGAAAAAAAGGAAGAAAAAGAGAGAAAAAGAAAAAAATGATAGCCCAGAATGCCTCAAATGTTATGTTCGGGCGTCTAGAACACAAAAATTTCGCGGGGGCATGCCCCAGACCCCCTACGCCAGTGTTGTCTCAATTGGCCCAACTTTCGACCCCCGCTTCCGGCCCCCCCTTTTGGACATTTCTGGATCCGCCCCTGAAGGTAGTACTTAAATCAGCTTTAATTACGATGATAATAAAAAAATGAAAAAGGAAGAATTTCAAGCAGCAATGATTTATAAAAAGACGCAATGTTGCACTTTGCTGTTAAATTATATAACTAAATTTCCAGAAAGCTACATGAAGTATCAGTCAAAGGTAGCTAAATTATAATTAAAAATAAAAATTGGATCCTCTAATAAAAGCGAAATCTTGTCCAAGGAGTCCTGAGCTAAGCAAACATGCCCAATTGTGCTTTACAAATCAATTAATCGTGCAACTAAAGATTTTAAAAATATATTTTAAAGATATAGGCCCCCTAGGCCTAATTGTATTATAATATATTGATTGTTTTAATACATATTTTAAATCAAAACGTTTAAATGTTTTACAAATTACAAATCAAAATTTCAATGAATAGAAAATAATGAATAATAAATAAATAATAATAATAATAATAATAATAATAATAATAATAATAATAATAATAATAATAAATAATAATAATAATAATACAGTAATAAAATAATGATAATGTTATAACTCACTAATATTATAAACAGAAGTGTGGAGAATGCTGCTAATTTACTTACAAGGCCTAGCTTCTTGATATGAATGATTAGGCATATGTTGTACAAAAATTTCTCTCAATGCAATAATTCTTCAACTTTGATTTATTGTTTAGATTACAATTTACAAATAGGCCTCGGCTATTTGTTGGTTTGAAGATGACCAGCATATTTTATTTCATAAATTAAAGTTTACGAAGTCATAGACCTAGAGTAGAGGCCTAGATACAATTAGAAAACTTTCATGTTATTAATATTTTTATCATTCATTTACAGGCGAAATTAATATTATCGCCGACGATTCACAAACCTACTCTGTCTGCACAACCAACCTTTCTCCTCTTCTGCAGTGTTGACTCTTCTTAGGAGCCTCATTCTATATTATAGAGTAGGCTGCTAGCAACTAGGTATTATAGCCTATATAGGCCTAGATGATAGACTTTTAAAACAAAAAGATAATCGTAACGAAAAAAAATAAAGAATCGTCCTCACTTTATCTTCTCGAAATAATACAGCACATCACTGATTAATTAATTCCAAAGTTAGCTACGAGTAGGCCTAGTAGTAATAGTAGGCCTATTACCACCACGTCTTCTAGGCCTAGTAGTACTACACCTGTCTCTTATACACATCTAGAATCAGTGTTTTATAAAATGTTATAAAGCTATACGCGCGCACGCTGTTTGGTGACGCGCGCACGCTGTTTGGTGACAACATGGCGCCCATGCGCCAAGTTGGCCAAACTCTCTCTATCTACGGCTCTGTATCTATACATACAACAGTAGGTACTACATAGAAGAGCGTAGTAACTATTGTAGCTATTTTATTAACATTTTAAATAACATAAAGACAGGCTTACATGAGTTACATATCGGATATAGGCTACATCTCATAAATCGGTAAGATCCCATAGGTACACATGGCTATATGGAGAAAAACAACCAACGTGACCACTCACAATTTTTGATATACACAATGACTGGGCCGAAATACCCAAGATTCAGCAAAAATTGCCCAAAATTACCCAAGCTTCCTGAAAATGCATTAAAATTTGAAAAAAACGTGTTTTTCGCATGTATAGTTTCCCTTTTAGTTCAATTTATAAACCATTTTTACTGTAATTGTTTGTGTTAATTATTAAAATTAATATTCATGAGGTAATAATACGGATAGAAAAATACGCCCTCAGTCGGCCAGTGTTATCAGTAGAACAGTGATCAAGTTTTATTATATAATGCATAAAATTAGGTAAGATCAATCAAACAATTCTGAACCCATGTTTATAGCAATTAACAGTCAATTAACAATGTTATGAATGGACTGAAATATACTTTGTTACTTCTTAATTCTTCCTCTATGACAAAAATATTTAATTTTCTTAGTAAAAATAAAATACCCAAGGATTTGAACGGAATACCCAAGAACCCAAGACCAAGTCAAAATACCCAAGATCTTGGGTAAATACCCAAGCAGTGGTCACACTGAAAACAACAAAACAAAAACGAATAGTAGAGCAGGGTTGCCAGATAGTCGACAGGCTTCACGGCCAAACACACGCCATCTCACGGCCAAATTCGGCCAAACTTTTTTTCAATATCGGCCAAAATTCGGCCAGATTTTAATCCGATTAGAAGACAGTTATGTGGGTACATATTCATTTGAAATACTGCAAAAATTACAGGAAAATCAGGGGCCGTTCGCTTGAAATTGAAGAAATTCAAATAATATACACAGAACAATGTTAAACTTCTTTTAATTAATCTATCACCATAAAATACATGCCCCAGCTACATTATAATATTAAATAGCCTAGGCCCTATGTTCTTTAGTTGCTGACGCTGACGAAAATAACCTTATGCGTTTGGGCGATCAATTTTTCTTTTTTTTTCACCACTCCCCACCCCCTCCCCAACCCTAAATCCGCTTCTGCTATTTAAAATCACATCATTAAGATTGATCTAAATTGATTTAAATGTATTACATATTAACGTACATTGTAGTCGATCTATAGCAAACATTTTAAGGTCCTGTTATTGGTTAACCCGTTTCTCTCTTTAAATAGAATGAATTAAGTTACATGGCTAGGTAACACAAACTGGCGTTAAAACAAACCTATGAAAACTTTAATACATACTTTTTATCTAAACTTTCTAAATTCGCCTCTGAATGTTATTGTCGCAGTACTTAAAGCAATAAATCAATGTTGCTATCAGAATTATCTTCTTCATTCTCATATGCAACCTAACTCCAGAGTCTCTGCAGCACTTGCTTGAAATTGGAGGTGCCATCGGACCCGG